GTGAGAGCATGACCACACACATGGGCTCTTCGTTCTGCACAGCACTGGGGGAACATTGCTAAGCAGTGGTTGGTCAGTGGGTGGGCATGACCTGAACTGGGAATTATTTATCCAGTTTGGAAATCTGCTGCCAGGACGCAATAGCTGCTGTGTGAAATGGGACCTAACGTTGCAAAAGGGGTGTGCAGAAAGAGGCTGGGTGATGTTGCAGTGTTTTTAAGGAGTTACACCCTTCCTAAGAGCCTGGCCCAAGCCCACTTGGAATCAACAGGGATTTGCTGAGTCATGGTGGGGAGCTTCGGATCTGGCCCTGAAATGTCTGCAAGCTTGCAGAAAGTGCCAATGTGATTTTCTCAGCATAGGAGGGTGTGGAGAGGCTGAAGTAGAAATTCTGGCATTGACGGATGTCCCAGTGGCTCAGGCAAGTGGTAGCCTGGTGGTGACAAAATGCAGGGAGCGGCACCGTTGTCCATATGCCTCTTGGCAGGGATGAAACAAGAGTGCTGACAAGGGCCTTTGCTAGGACTTGATGGCTGAGTCAGGGCTCTGCAAGAACCTCTCCCTGACTCCTCCTCTCACAGACCCACCTGTCCATTGCTTTGTGATTCAGACAAAGCGTTAGGCGCTTCCCTGTGGAGAAACCCACCCAAGCCATGCAGTTGTGCATGCAAGTATCAGGGAGCAAGGCTGAGTAGGTGGGAAATTGCAAAAGCGTTGTTTGCACCCCACCCCCATCTTTCTTGGTGACAGTTTGGCTATTGTGGAAGTTGAAAAGGAGGCCATTCACCTTTACATGGCCAGGCTGAGAAATACAAGCCTGACAGTACAGGCCTGTGCAGGGAAATGGGTGTACACAGTGCCTCTGGCAGGGGAAAGACTGCTACACCAGTTGTGTTCTCGCCCCACTCAGACACAAGGTCTCTGTGTGAAGTTCACAATCCATTCACAACATCCTTCTCTCTGAGCTGGAGAGATAATGAATTTAATGGGTAGATTGTTCAGTGGATGAGGAACTGGCTGGCTGGTCATATCCAAAGGAGAGTAGTCAACAGCTGAATGTCCTGATGGAGATTGGTGAAAAGTGGTGTCCTCCAGGGGTCTGTATTGGGACCAGCTATTTAATATCTTCACCAGTGACATAGACAGTGGGACCCAAGTGCACCCTTACCAAGTTTGCAGATGACACTAAGCTGAGCAGTGTGGCTGACACACCCAAGGGACCTGGACAAGCTCAAGAAGTGGGCCCATGGGAACCTCATGAGGTTCAACAAGGCCAAGTGCAAGGTTCTGCACCTGGGTTGGGGCAACCCTCAGTATCAATACTGGCTGCAGGATGAAGAGATTGAGAACAGCCCTGCCAAGAAGTACTTCGGGATGCTGGTGAATCAGAGGCTGGGCACAAGCCAGCAATGCGTCCTTGCAGCCTGGAAAACCAATTGTTTCCTGGGCTGCATCAAAAGCAGTGTGGCCAGCAGGTTGAGGAAGGTGATTCTGCCCCCCTTCTCTGCCCTGATGAGATGCCCCTGGAGTGCTGTGTCCAGCTCTGGAGTCTTCAGTACAGGAAAGTTGTGGACCTGTTGGAGTGGGTCCAGAGGAGGGCCACAAATATGATCAGAGGGCTGGAATGCATCTCCTATGAAGACAAGCTGAAGGAATTAAGGTTGTTCAGCCTGAAGAAGGCTCCAAGGAGACCTTATTGCAGCCTTTCAGTACTTAAAAGGGGCTTATAAGAAAGATGGTGACAAACTTTTTAGCCCCTTAGGGCCCCTGTTGCAATAGGACAAGGAGTATTAGTTTTAAAATAAAGGAATGTAGTTTCAGAGTAGATATTAGGATGACTTTTTTTACAAATTATGGTGAAACACTGGAACAGGTTGCCCAGAGAGGTGGTAGATGCCCAATGGCTGTAAGGATTTAGGGTCAGGTTGGATGTGATTCTGAACAACCTGATGTAGTTGAAGATGCCCCTGCTCGATGCAAAGATGTTGGACTAGATGACCTTTAAAGGTCCCTTCCAACCCAAACTGTTCTATGATTCTACGGAATAGATTTATTTCAGAAGCATTGTAATACAGCCTTGGTTCAGCAAGGGGAATACAGGTAACAGTGGCAATAGAAAAACATATCAGGCAACTGGGAGCAGAAGTCTGCCTCCTGTAGGCTATGGCAGTGCTTCCCGGCATGCCATTGTAGGGCAAGGGTGGGTGAGGCACTGGGCTGGCACTGCACACACCAGCAGAGTCTCTGCTCAGCCCAGGGGCCGGGGGAGCCAAACTGAATCCGACCTGCCAACAAAGAGCTCACAGCTGCAGTACACGGGGTAGGGTAGGCAGACTAATCATGCAAAAGGAGGAGAGCAGGTTCAAACCACCCCACAACTGGTCTCATTTGCTTTTTAGTGCTTTGGCATGCAGGGTTGCTGGGAAGGGCCGAAGTCAATGGAAAAACAAGTCAAAGTTGCAATGGGACTGGGCTGAAATTAAGAGTGAAGGATGGAGGAAGGCATGCAGTGAGGCTGGAGTCAAGGGCTATAGTGTATAACAGGAATAGAGTCCAGCAGACACTGCTTCTGCACCTGTAGATGGTCAGGGCTCCTGCCTATTTGAATGGAAAGCAAGACAAGAGGGTGGGAGGGGATGCAGGGAATTTGCAAGAGAGCTTTTCCAGAGGCTCTGATTAATTGTTTGGCACCACAACAAATTTAAGCAATCTCCACCTCAGGCATAACAATCACAGAGAAATCACAGGGTGGGGAGCTGCAGCAGGGATGGGCAGAGACAATTAAGCCAGGTGCTATCAGAGAAAACTGGCTGAACTACCATGGGGATGATGGTGGTGCCAGTGCAGTACGAACTGCCAGTCACCAGTGGGTCAGAGATTTGGGGGAATGGGGAGACCCTCTCCCCCGGGGCCATAGCTGCAGGGCAGGAGCAAGGGCAGGCTCAGAGAATGTGTAGGAGCAGTTCAGAGAAGTGCCAGCCATCTTGGAAAGACATGGGAAGTTGGAAACCAAGAATAGCAGCTTGGCTTTTCCCTGCAGAAAGGGTTAAGTACCACCCTGCTAAACACAGCTGCCTCCCCTGCCCAGGCCACAGAGTGCAGCAGGCAGTGGGAAGCTGACTCTGAGAAACAAGTCACTAAATTTCTTCACATATCATCACATTTCATCAGAATGCCAACTACTAGGAATAAAGAGGGCACTGATAGTGTCAGGGACTTCTCCTTGGCAGTAAACAGAAGTCAGGGAGTATTTCAGATAAAGGAGAGTGCCCATAATTAGGATTGCACACAGGGTGAGAAGAAATATTCCAGCCAAACACATCAATCACAACTGGTCTTCCCTGCTGAGACAATCAATGACTTAGCACTAGTGAAGCCTTGGATCAGCTCTGGCTTTTTGATTTACAGCTGCCCTTGGCGTAAATTGGACAGGGATTGGCACATTTTTTCCCAACCTATCTGGCTGCCAGGACACAACAGCAACAGGGCAGTGTTGCCAGACTGCACCTTACCAGGTCCTGCTACCACACAGGAATCATTAAACCAACCCAAACTCATTTACAGCATGGCCACACGCATAGTTGTGCTGGCCTACAAAGGACCATGGATGACCATTTCTTCATTGAAACTTTGCCTACTTATCCAGGCTGAAAAGAACAACAGACACTGATGTTCTAGAAAAAGCTAACTGCTAGAATAAAATGCATTATTTGAAAACTTGTAAACAGGAAAAAACCCACCATCTAGAGAGCTGCTTTCATATCCCCGTTTGGGGTTTTGCAGGCCTGTGCTTTATCATAGACCAACGAGAAGTTACCCCTTCTCCCATTTGAGGAAAACATATCTACGTTAAGGTGTTTTGCAGGTTTACTGGCATTCAGCATAGGGCTATTTCAATTTAATCACTAAGAGTGGTGAGACATGATCAAGTATAATTAACTGATCTCCATTCATTTTCAGCATAAGGTATGTGATTCACAGCACATCCTGGATGAAAGCCCATAGCTCAAGTCTCAAGTTATTCCATGAAACAGTTCTGTAACAGAAGTAGCTGTGTCTCTATACTCTGAAACCACCACAACCCTTGTGCCCCCAGGGCAGACTAGAGGGGGGATCCAGTAAAGTACAGCCTGACCATGCACCTTCCTGACCCTAAGGGAGCAGCTTCATTAAGTCAATACACACTAATATATGGTTTTGTGTATACTTTTTCCTCGAGCTTGCTGGTGGACACATTCAGAAGACTAGCAGCAATTTCTTTTCACAGCAGCGATTAAAAAGGAAAATGTGCTGCGAAGGCAGGAAAGATCAGGAGTTTGCTAGTGGAAGAGAATAGATAAATGACAGGGCTCAACTCAGGCCCTCATGCAGGGACAGAGCTGACTCTAGGTATTTTCTCCCTCCCATTGCTTGCACCTGCTTCCTGTTAGGATTTTACTAGTTACAGATAAACCAACCAAACCACCTAAGCCCACTTACAGCATGGACACACTCAGAGCTGTGCCAGCAGCTGTAAGAAGTGTCATACAACAGCATGAAGAAAACAGCACTGAGTGCAATCTCTGTCCTAAGGATACCTGTTCTTTGTTATGCCCCTTGGAAGACCAGTTCCATTATACAAAAAAAATGAAGCTAATCCATTCGTACTAGTGTAGGGAAAAAGAAAGTAATTCTAGCAAGGTCAGTCTTGAGAAGTGACCCAAAACAGGAAACACACAGAATAACAAAGCTATGGTCTTGCACTGCATGTACTTCTTCCACCTTCAGGTTCCCCTGCGTTCAACACCGTACCCCTCCCACAGGCACATACTGCCATGCACTTAAGAGTTACCAGTGTACCTCTTCTGGAGTATGGACAACAGAATTAGGGCATCAGTGCCCTGGATGAGAATGAGGGGTGTGTAGGGGCTATGTGCACTTTGGATGTAGAATCCATACTTGAACAAGTTTTTCATAAGTTCTTACTGAAGATCTCACTAGCATTCACATATAGACTCTCATTTCACTGAGAAAGGTTAAAGTGTTTGCCTTTTATTCAGAAGACTCGGTCCATTTTCCAGTAATGCATTCCCATGTCCTTGAAACCAGATAGCCTCTAGTCTCAGAACAGCACCATCAGTCTAATACAAAAAAAGCAGAACAAATCAAAACCAAAAAAGTTCCATGATGTGATATAGCATAAAGAAACAAATACAGCTAATACATTAGAGAAATAAACATCTACACAAAGTTATGTAAGTTGCTATAAAACTGGCAGTATGCAATTAAAAGATTGGCGAGATTACCAGGTCTGCTAGATGTTTAAAGCAAGTCTACATAGGCTGTATCTATATTCTCATACTGATTTTAGGCATGACTTTGCATTCAGGATCTAGCTAACTTTCATACAACTTCCCCTACAGCCAGCAGTGTGCGTGCAAGCATCTCAAACTACCTGGCCAGACTCAAGCAGCACTTGCAAAGCCGTAAAGATGTAGCCTATTGCTGTCTCCTCCGTATGAATATGGTGTTACAGGGTTCATCTGCATATGCCTGGTTAAAACAAAATCAGTTGCATACTGTAACACCTTAAGTAACATGGAATCTTAGATTTTAGAAAAATATTTTAATTGTCAGTTCACAAGTAAAAACTATCACTATTACAAAACATCTTTTAAGACTAGAATATCTAGCTTGGAACGAAATTTTGTTCTTATTGCTGTTGTATTTAGTTTTCAGGAGCTGTGTCAGCATGAAGGTAAGTGGTGGGATTCCCACTTGTCAGTCAGCTTGTAAGGGTACTCATAGGAAAGTGTACTTTCCTACTTAATCCTCACGAAATTTTCACATATTTAGGCTTCCCTGACTTTTTCCAGACAGGTACATACTTTACACCTGACACTACCACATCAAAGTCTCACCCAACTTTGTTTCATGTAACAAATTTCATTTGCAGCCTTTAAATAAAACATTCACTCCAAAAAGAGTGAGCATCAGCACTGACTCCACCTTAGCTACTTGAAAACCCTATAACTGTGTTCTGACAGCTATCAGATATCAACTCATTCATTTCATTTTGTTTGGTTTCTTCCTTATTCTCATGATTGGGTTGTTGTTTTGAATTTCCAGCTTTTTTAGACCTTCTGAGGAAAAACTTTGTCACTAAGTAACATAATTCAGCCACATTTAACAGAATGCAAATGCTGGACACAGCAATCATGAAAATAGTAAACACTGTCTTTTCAGTGGGTCGAGAGACAAAGCAGTCTACCGTGTTGGGGCAGGGCCAAGCGCTACACTTCATCAAGCGAGGCATTCGGAACCCATCGTACATGAAATAAAACGCATACATGAAGACAGCTTCGAAGATCAGTCTGAAAAAGATGCTGCCGGTGTACGTCCACCACAAGGAGCCCTCAATATGAAACCTCTGCCTTCTGATTTCTTCAATGTCCTTGTATTCGCATTTCTGGTCTCCCTTTCTGAACTGCCGTTTCTTCTCGTGCCTCCTGTAGGCCACATGCATGGCCACCAGCAGCGCAGGTGTGGAGACAAAGATCATCTGCAGGGCCCAGAGTCTGATGTGAGAGATGGGGAAAAAGTGGTCATAGCACACATTTTTGCAGCCAGGCTGAAGTGTGTTGCAGACAAAGTCATCTTGTTCATCTCCCCAGACTCTCTCTGCAGCCACAACCAGGATCATGATACGGAAGATGAACAGGACTGTGAGCCATATCTTCCCGATACTGGTGGAGTGCTTGTTTACACCTCCCAAAATGGTATGCAGAGATCCCCAATCCATTGTCTTGTTTCAATCCTGTGACCTAAGACAAGACAAATAAACAAAACTAAGATTAATCAAGACAGGAAACAAATACCATCAAGCATGTGGTTTAAAATAGAGGCAATATCATAATGGTACCATACCCATGTGGTAACATTTTGACGCAGTGGGTTTACCTGCAACTAGTCATAAATAATTATCTAATCACATATCAGCAGGTAATAATTCATTACTTGATTATACACATAGCACCACATTCATTTGACTTCTAGGTATATTAGCCAATGCCACATAAAGTAGGAAAAGCGGATGGGAACGGGAACCTGATGAACACACCCTTAAATCCAAAAGATACAACTTTTAGCAGTTGGATAACAGTTACAAAATAATAGAAGGTATCAGCCAAAAGTAAGGTAGATGTTATGTTAAAAAGTAACATGCTAGGCAGATATAATTCCTATATAAATCAAGGCAGATTGATCTATCCTTAGCTTTAGAATGTACGTAATGTTCAGATGAGTACATTCCAGCAATAAAGACAGATCTTGAGTAACTGCTGCTGATGCTCTGCACCTTCCATGAGGTCTAGATAACCTGCATTCACCAATTTAGTTGAAGTAAATTCCACAATAGCTTGAGGCCATGAAGGTAAAGTCTTGGTCATTATCCATCGTGAGTTAGATGTTTAAAATCAATGCTTAAAGATTCAGACCAAAATTGCTTTCTCTCTGCTAACTACAAAAAGGGCCTAAGGTAAGTAGATAAAGATTCCTTCATTGTCAGAGCCTGTCAGGTTATTTTCTCCTCCCCCCCCTGCTTTTCACAACACACAGACCGCATTACTCCTAAAATAGGGGACACATTTCAGAGGCTGGTAGAGAACTAAAATCAACTTTTGAAGAGTTCAGGCAGGCCAGCAGTAGCTCAGAGACTTTTTGACAGAAGCATATAGGTTCTAGTAGGTGAGTTTGAAAGTACTATGACTGTAATTCACAGGAAGCATTCAGAGGCATTTCATTTCAGCCCACCTCCCCTGCTCCACTTCAGATGGATTTACAGAAAGTTAGTTTGCAAGTACTCTGTATTCAAGAATCAGCCAGGACCCTTTAGGAGTGCTCACAGATCTCTTTTGGCTCTGAAATTCCTCATGAAGGTTTTTATTTCACAGCTTCATTAATCTGTTTGCATCTCAGAGACCATATTTCTTTGGCATTTACAATAGAAGGCACCAATAAGCAACATCACCTTTACAAAGTTTCTAGAACAGAGCAGCTACTGGCAAAAGGCCATCATATCTATCACAAGATGATAGCATTGCATGAAGAAGAAAATGATGCCATTTCTTTGCAGTTCTCTTTAACATCATCCTCCCTTCTGAATAAGGTCAAAAGCCTTTCTAACTTACAGTGAGTACATACATAATCAGTAGGTCACGTACAATTATACAGAGCATAAGTCAAAGTACACAACAGCTCAGAGAAAATGAGGGAACTTAATTGTTTTGTTACATAATGCAACAGTATCTTTTCCTTGAGTTATTGGAATAAAATGGTATCTCCCTTCACAACTTCCATAAACTGCATTTTCCTCAGACCCTGCTGGTTGACTGTGTGGGATTATACTGCAGGAGGTGAAAACCAAGGGGGAGACCAAGACTTTCTTCAGATCAGAGACAAGTCTTCCCGAGCCTCCTTCAGAAGCAGAACCTGTCCGCTATTTCTTCTGTACCTGTCTGAAAACAGTCCTGGAAAGAGACTTACCTTCCTATCCTGCTACTTTATTTTTCTAAGGAGAAGGATTATTATTCATTAGCATACAGAGAAAAAGTCTCTGTAGGTTAACAACCCTCTGAGGGCACAGGAAAGACCCTTAATACCAGATACTTACAAAACATAGTGGGTAATTTTCTAGTATTTATTGCCACCCCTTTTTCTGTTATCTGACTGATGAAAAATCAGACCAAACTTCGTTTCAGAATTTGCCTTGGCAATCGTTGTATTGTTAAACAGAGGAATAGTTACAACTTTTATTCGTGTTCTCTATTACACATATACGGCAATTACAGTACTTATAAAATGACACTACCACAATGTATTATGAGTAGAAATACTTATGCACATTCAAAAATAAATCTCGTAGAAAACTGGCACCATGCAAACTGTGGAACCACACACATCATTCACCCATCCTCTAATTCCACCAGTCCTTACATTTCTTCTCAGTTGTTCTATCTTCTCCTGCCTGTCAAGCATCTTCTTACAGTGTGAAAAGGCTGAGAAGTGGAACCTGTGTGTTCCCTCCTCATAAGCCCTGTTTCTCAGTTTCACCTCTCAGTGCACACCCAATACCACTCCCTTTTTGTTACAACTTCACATGGATTTATTTCCTCCTCCCTATCTCCCTGTGCAGAAGGAGATTCAAAATACAGATGTCCCAGTGTTTAGTTAGTTAGCTCAAGAAACTTCCCTACCCCTGTTTGCTCCCGAGGTCACACTGCAGTTCATCTCCTGTGACTTTTGAAAGAGCATTATAAACCAGGAGACTTGAGTTCAAAAGTTATTCCCAGGGCTAGTAAGTTTTGTTTGTTTTTAAACCTGATCCATTTCACTAACTTGCTCTACAGCACAGATCCACAGAGCATCTGAAAAGGACAGCTTTGTTAAAAAAAAAAGAAAAAAACAAAACAAAAAAACCAGGTTGCAAATTGTAAAGCTGAATGAGCGGTCAGTGGGGAAGAGGGGTTGGCAAAGCTTTAGTGCTGAGGACAATACACACTTTTCATCTGACTTGCTCCATCTCCTTTGAGAGTATATTGTGCTTGCTAAGCCAAAACACTGTGCTTCAATTCTAGCAGAGGCATGTCTGCATCTGTACCAGTGAAGCCACCACACTTTTAAGAAGCAGCCTTTTGCCAAGTCTCCTAGCAAGATTTCCTCTCCCTTCCAAAAAAGCCTTGGTCTCTCATCTCTGCCCAAACACTCACCCCTGCACCCTTCCCACATACCTTTTCAAATCTTCCAGCTATCTCTTCAGCTCCTCCTGCCACATTCCACTGTTCTTCCCACTGCTTGCTGAGCTAGTCACCAACCTTTGCCCCTTCTTGTTCGTGGCCTCTCAGGCTTGTTTTGACACTGTTGGAGAGTCATATGACTTCTGGAACACCCCAGAGTGCTACAGGCACTGATCAGATAGCAGTGAAGTCTCACTATCTGCTCCCTGAAGGGTGGCACAGCTATAATTGTAGAGCTGTATTCAGGCAGCTTGAATTCCAACCAACAGTGTTTCCTACCAGCTGGCTTTAAACCATTCTCCTCAATGCAACTTAGAGGATTCCAATGAAAGCAATTCAGAGACTGCCAAAATGTCCACCTCTCTCCAATAAAAAGATGCAGTGATCTAAGCAGAATTTAAGTTAACCAAGTATGGCACTCCAAAGTATTAACCCATCAGTGCAGATCACTCCAGCTAAACATTCCAACAGTTTGGAATATCTACAATGATGTGATGGCTCATTTACTCCTAACTTAACTCAAAGTCTAGGACGTGGATCATAGGTTATCCTTCTTTCAGGTACTTGTTTTATTTTTTACTAGCAAGTAAAATATTAACTGCCTTGCTGAGCAAAGGAAAAGAAAGCAGGAAAATTACATCCCTTTAATAGGTTGATAACTCTTATTTTTATAGAGCCAGTCCAGATGATATTTTTATGGGAGCAAATCCAGCCAAATGCCTACAGAAATAACAGTATACAGACGTACTGGGTTTGCTGGTCTTGGACGTACAGCACAGTACAAGAACACATTTAAGATGTGAAAGCTTAGCTGAATTTTGGGAGAAAAAATAATGTAGGAATGAGGGTAAGGATTGGTTATAAAGGAAGAATTATATATATATATGGGAAGAAGAGGAGATAGTTGAACTTAGTGAGGTTGAGTAACTAAGCATTTAGAATCCTTTCTAACATGGGAGCATATTAAGCATTAAATTTTCCTTCCAAAAAATTGCAACTGGGCATGAAAATAAAGCCTTTCCAAACCTCAGCATAGATCTTTGTTCTACTACCAGTGGGACCTTCTATTTCATTTCAACAATTAGAGGACCATAGTAGTATATGGCTGTTACAGTAGGAGTTAAAAACACCCAAAGAAGATCACCATGCTCCACTGAAAAGTTAAGTTGCAAGGGAAATAGTTCTATACAATCACACAACAGAGTCACATAAATAGCTGTTTTGCTTTTTTTTCTTAGTGGTGGTGGTGGTTTGGGGTTTTTTCCACTAGTAAGCTAGGCAGCAGCAAGAGAAGAACTACAGCTTAACTACTTCTGTAGTTCTACAGCTTCTGGCCAGTATTTTGAGCTGTGTGCTGCCATAGGTAGACTGCCTTCTACTTTAAAGCTAGCTCCTGTAAGCCTACATTAAACCACAATCAAAGCAAGCTGAATACACCCAGTGAAAATCCCTGCAATTCACAACACTGAGGACAATTATCACTGAGCTCCCATGTTTATGAGTACAGCTAGCTTGTTAACAGACATTTCTCCCCTCCTCCCCCCATTAAAGACTGTTATACTGGGAAATCATTAGTCAGTGGCTAAATCCACAACTAGAATACAGAGAAAGTAAAAAAAAACCAACACAAGATACATCTCTTCCACATACACATATGACGCTTGCTGCTGTAGGATATTACCAAGCAAAAAACCCAGTCATTAGCAAGTATTACAATATTTGGTTATGCTACTGGAACATCCAGGAGTCCCGTTAAAGAAACCTTATGCATAAATTCAGAGCACAATTATACTCTTCTCCCCACAGCTACAGTTTGGATACCAATTTACTTACTTTACTGGATTTACACAGAAACTTAGAGGGTGTTCAGGAAGACTCCACTTCTGTCAGAATTTTAGCAAGTGTACCAGGAGTTACCAGTTAGGTGTGACATTCCACCCCTTTCAGCAGGGCCTCCAGATGCTGATACAAGATCAGCAATCTGCCAAATCAAAAGTCACTTTATCTCATGTGGGAATGTGCTAACCAAGATAGTCTTTAAGCAACAAAACACTGGTCTCAAGTGTCACTTCCCAACCCCAAGCTGGGGATAAAGATAACTCAGACGCCTAAGAATGGCAGTTCTGATACAGAATTTTTGCCATAGAAAACATTTAGAATATCTAAAGTATCAGAGGCAAAATCATTACCAAAATTATTTTATGACCCAATTTGAAACAAGAAGTATTGTTGCATGCTGAGGTCCAGCATGCATTCAAAAATGCTGCTGAGACAGAGTTTCCTTCAGGTCTTGACCTCAGCAGTCACACGGACTCATACAGGGGCTGATAACCAGCATCAAGGTGTCCTAGAGCTGTATATGCTGTTTCATTACCCAGATTTGAAGAACATGTAAATCTGGACTTCAGCAGCTTTGCATCAGCATACCTCCACCCTGCTAACCTGGCATCTAGTTTACTGCAAGCACTTAATTGTTAGTGTGTAGATTTTGTTATTCTGATCGCTGAGATAGTTTTGGTGCTGTACCACAAGAACAGCAGCATTGCCAAGACCAAAGCAAGGAAGCTTCTAATAAATACAGATTAACATCTTCCGAGGGCGGCATCTTCTTGTTTGACCAAGAAAGCCTGGTATACAGGCTACAGCAGCTACTTGTTAACTTGCTCAGACTTCCTAACTAATTTGTCAGTCTGCCCCACGCCTCAGTTTCCCAGACATTAAACTAGAGATAACAAAAATCTCACCATCTCACAGGGCTGCTCTGAAATGCTCCACTACAATTACAAGTTTTACAGGCTCAGAGGACCAAATCAGATAAGCACCAGCTCAAAGCTGGAAGCACAGAGCTTGAATTCAATCATCCAGGATATTTCTGATACCTGAAAAGGAATGCAGCTCCCTGCATTGCTATAGCTTTAATGCAGAGTTCAAAATGCAGGAGGATGAAGCTTCGAACTTTGGCAACCAAAATTCTTTAATAGACATCTTGCAGCTATTTTAATTTTACAGCAGTGTATATAAAAACTTCGATGAGTATGCAGCTGGAAGACACTGAAATATCAACAACTTCACTTCTCTCCTTAAAAGCTGAATAAAGATCAAAAGAGAAGTCTAACAATCACAAAAGCCTGTGCAATTCTCTCTAGTAGCTCTTCAACTTTGTCCTGAACACCTATCTCCAGATCAGAGTGGAAACTGGAGAGCAGAAGAGCCGTGACAGAGGAATTATAGTATATCTGATTTGACACAAGAACAGGCAAAGACTAATCAGGAACAGGAAACCTGAAAGTTGCAGGCCTGAACACTGCAAGCATTGTTCTGTCATTCTACTCAAGTTTATGGAAACAGGAGGCATTCTTTGCCCTAATTAAATTCAATGTGAAACCCAGAGAAAACCAACAGATTAGGACCCAATACGTATGTAGTTAAATGTTAAAAAAAAAATTACGTTAGTTAAATATCAGCAGCATTAAGGGTTCAGTTCTACCCACAATGCCTCCCTTATGATTGTCCCATATTCATGCCCTCACGTAAGTTTCAAGTCATTTTCCAAGGATGCTGGGAAATATCCATAGCTATTTCAGTAGCCTGCAACTGTAACTGGAGGATTACCATCTTCCAGAATATCCCTGCACAACATTCATTCCATTCGTACAAAACAGGAAATCAGAAGTGTCAGTCTCACTTGAAGGCATAACAAGACAGCACAAGTCCTATTAGAATTTAGCCCATCTCAGCCATTTTTCCATGTAAATCTTTCCTTCAAAATGTGCTTAAAGCTTTTTGCTTTGGAAGAAAACCAAGCTCCCGCGGACTGTGTCTTCACTGATACAAGTGTCCTATTTCCCATACTTGGAAGAAAGTTCTAGGGATACTGTGCCCTGCTCCCAGTTATCAGAATAACTTCTTAGTTATGACACTTATGTTGCCTTTTTTTTTAAGCCTGTTACTTAATTCCTATTTCCTTTCCCTACACCTAGGCAAAGGTCTACATCCCCTCTACAAATCTGCCCACTCCTGCTTCAGTGTAATGTTTCCTATCAAACTGGCAAGCCACAATGTTCTTTCACACACACAGAGAACTTGCACCCTTTTGGAAACACAAATTTATAAACATTAAGATTTTATACTGCAGTGCAGCTTCTCCTTGAGCATGTATTTTATTATTTCATTCATCAGAAGCAAAGACAAAAACAACTTTTTCCTTTTTAAAAGTCTATTACAGGAAGAAACAGTGGTAGGAGATAAGGAATAAAATTAGTTTTCAATATTCTTTTATCAACTAAGAGGAGATGTATTTCTCTTTTTCCACATTCCTTCTGAGAGCATGTTATCTTGCCTCATATATCATCACTTCAAGCTTTTCCTTACACAAACTGGTGTTTAGCCAGGCAAGAGTCACAGTTCTCCCTTCAGATAACTCATCAGTCATCATTAAGTAACAATTAAAAGCAGTGAGGAATAGAACAAGGAAAAACATCAAAATAAAAAACACATTCAACCCATGTTCCTGTTTCATGCAATCTCTGGTACCACTGCTTTCATTGGAACTGTTCACAAGAATCACCTTGTAAAAGTACCCTCTTTACTCACAGGCAGCAACTGAGTTTATGGAATGACTGTTAAGAAGAACTTGTAAGTCTATCTCAGAGTGCTGCTATTTGTCCAGCTACTGAGATAGTCTGCTTTACCTTTTTCCCTGTACAGTTACTGCACAAAATAAATGAGGCTGCCAAAATAAACTACCAGGATTGTGCATCAGGGGAGAGGCCGCAGCTTCAGCACAGAGAGTTAGCCCTGCCAGGACAGAATCAATTTATCCAGAGAAATATTTTAATTCATGGGGTTTTATTATTCCGTTTTTAAGCTCTGTGATATGTCGTCCTACCGACTACGAGACTGACAGTTCTGGGGACTGTCTGAAGTCTCCCAGAAACCCCAACACATGAAGTAGAGATGTAACCTCGTGGCTCTGCAAAACATGTTGGAAAGCCCCCCTGGGAAACTACATTGCAATGCCTAGTTGACACATGGAGGTACCTTCTTTTACCAGGGTGAGGTTTGTCCCACCACTGCCTTGTTCTCTAAGCTACATCTAACACAATCACATACTTCTGCCAACCGCCTTTTCTCTGGGGCTCTTCCAGGTTTGTGTCTGGGAAGTAGGGTTTCCAGGCTGAACAGTGGATATATAACAAGAGATATTAAAAGTTACATAATTCCTTTAACAAAATCAAGGATAAAAATGTATTTATTCTACTCTTGACTCGATGTACACATGCACATTGTGGTAATCCCTAACAGAATCTGGGCCCAAACCCTCATATCATTTCATACACGTCACGGCCAATAAAATGCCATAAGTGATCAAAGTCATAAAAACTGGGTTTAAAGGAGCCATCTTAAGAGAAAAGGTCACTTCCTTCTTTCAACCCTGTGCCTGTTCTCTTAAGAATATTTCAAGATTACATGGTGAAAACTAATGGAGTACAAGACAAGGAAATAATATCCTCTATTTGGGGGGGGGGGGCAGGCAAAGGTGTGTTAATAAAAAGAAAAAAAATAAAATAGATTCTTCAGCACAAGGGATTCTGAAAGTAATGCCCAATCTAGGAAAGCCCAATGACAGGAAAACCAGTCATGCCCAGCATGCACAGGAACACACACAGCCACCAGCTACTGCCACGAGCTATGCAAGCACACATGCATGCCCTTACTCCAGCATATCCCTTGCATTTACTTAAGGGCTTGAGTACTCGTTCCTTGCACGATCTTATCCAACTCCGATACTCAGAAATACATTTATTTCTGACTCACATCTCTCGTTTCCTATTCCCCCTGTAATTCTGAGGAATGTTTCCAGTGTGTGGTCAGACACTCACAAAACCTGTCAGTTTTACTGATGCAAGCTGTTTACCTTCCCGCAGCTCTCTTAACATCCGTAGGCGTGTCGCAAATTACCTGTAATTGCAGGAGCCTTGATTTTTTGCCTGGTGTTTTAGCTGGCCGTACGTACTTCACATAACGCGCTCACGGAGAGCTGCTGGGAGGCGAACAAAAGACAATCGTTAGAATTGAAGCGCGTAATTAACAGAGACAGGAACATTCCCAAATAAAACCGGTCGCGGGGTTCAAGCACTGCCCGTGACGCTTAAGCTCGGGAAGCGAACCCGAGAACCCCCGTGCCGAGGGAGGGTGAATACTGTCAGGGACGGGGGATGGGGGGGGCTTCCAAGCCGGGCCCCGCTCCCCACGGCGGGCGGCGCCACCACAGCTCCCGGCTCCGCTCCGCCGGTGTCGGCCGCGCTCTGCAGCGCAACAAGTGTGGCGGCAGCTATACCTGGTTTGGGGGGGAACCTGTACGGGAACACCTGCCCCGCCGCGCCCCCCGCCCCTTCCGCTGCCGGTTCGGCCCGTCCCCGCCGCCCGCCGCGCCCCTCACCTGCCCCGGCGGCGCCCACGGCTGCGGGCCGCGATCCGCCCCACACGGGGCACCCGGCACCGCAGGCAGGCAGGCAGGCAGGCGGGCGGGCGGGCGGGGGCTCAGCGTGGCTCTGTCGGTGCCTGCGGAGCGGCCAGTGCGAGTCTTGCCGCCGCGGAGCTTTAAGGTCCCTCCCTGTTCACCTGCCGCCGCTTTTAACCCGCCCCTCGCCCGCCTCCGCCCGCGCCCTGCTCCTCCGGCCGCCCGCCCGCCCAGCCGGCCGTGGGGAAGCTGGGGCGGGGCCGCGCGTCCATCCCCGCCGCTGTGCCCCGGCAAGGGGCTTCTGTGGCGAGCGGGGCTTTGAATGTGAGGAGCAAACAGCCAAAATAAAGGGTGGGAGGGCTTGTATCCGCCCCGGGGCGAACGACCCCCCGTCGCTTCCCGCCGCCCGGGGGCTGGTTTGGGCTTACAGGGGGAGAGCGGGAGGGGAAGGGAGATCAAGGTAAGAGCAGATAACGTGTGTTTTTTTCTCAGAGGAAGCGCATATCTGTTTAAGATAGCAGTGTCATGTTTCCATCTTGACAAATCCAGGTATTCAGAAGGGCCTTGGAACAGGAAAAAAAACCCAGGTCTTTTCTCCTGGAAATCATTAAAGAACTGCGGGCCAAACACAGAAGGAAGAGCCAGTCGTCTCTGGCTTTTTGAGGTTTGTTTTCAAGTACGATTGAAATGCTACAGCAGTGCCCTGGAGACTCGCAGGCTTTCACGGAGCTGCGGATATTTGTCAGTGCAAAGACCTATTTTGGAAAGTTTTCTGTTTCTAAGGAATACAGTTGCTGAGGAAACAATTTACCTTAGGTTCAAAAATCCCTGCCCAAAACTGTGTTCTCTGTCCTGCACACAGGCACATCAAACTAAATAAACGGTTTGTAAACCTCTGAACTAAATTTCCAAAGAAAATATACCGTGCAACTGGAACAACAGGACATTTGCTCAGACTTCAGATGAAAAACGTGTCTGTTGGTGCTTGTTTAGAGTGTAAGGGCTCGAAATAAACAATTTCCAGCTAAATTCTACTGCCTTGTATTTCCCTTTCCTAGAATAAAAATCTTTTGCAAAAATCGGTGGCATAATTGATTTCATCTTCAGGAAAAAGAGGTAGAAATTTCTTGCACAAACAATCTAATAATTGAAAGATAAGAAATCATCATTGGCTGTGGTTTAGATATTAGCCTCTGTGGTGCTCATCTTTCTTCTACCACCCCTTCTTACTCCTGCACTTAGGTTCGTGGAACCTACATGTTAAGACCAGAGGGAAGATTCACGTTGGAAGAGATCTGAGAAGGTCTCTAATCCAACCTGTTGGTCAAAGCTGGGTCAGATCTGGGACCATTCAACAGTTATACCCCATCCTTGGGGAACCCAACACTTGCAGTAGCTGAAATCAGTTCACTGCAGCAACAGTAGAACCAGGCCCAAGGTATATGATGTGATGCTGAGCTAGACAAGTAATAAATACCTGAGGCCTGAGTTTATCTGAATTCTCTGACTTCTGAGGGAGTTGTGTGTTCAGATGACATTCAAGGTTCATGTGTTTGATGTGCATGAGGAAGAGAGGTGACTCTGGACCCAGACACACATCTGCACTTCGCAAAAGGGAAAGCCCATCTTCTAATGGAAGAAAAGCTTTAGATAAGACATCTGGAACTCATGTGTTGTTCCCTCTCCAGTCACGTTCCAACTTGATTCAGTAACCTTGAAAAAGTGAAATGTGTCATTCTAAGGTCAAAAGACTTTAAACATTTTCAGTAAAAGAAGTATTAGGAAAATAAAAGTCAAAATTGTAAGTCACGTGAGGAGCAGCTGAGGGAGCTGGGGGTGTTTTACCTGAATAAATGAGTCTCAGGGTGACCGTACTACTCTCTACAAATATCTGAAAGGAGGTTGTAGCAAGGTAGGGGTTGATCTCTTTTCCCAGGTAACAACTGACAGGACAAGAGGACGTAGTCTCAAGCTGGACCAGTGGAGGTTCAGGTTGGGCATCAGGAAGAACTTCTTTACTGAAAGGGTGGTTAGACATTGGAACAGTGTGCCCAGGGACGTGTTGCAGCCACTATCCCTGGAAGCATTTATGAAAAGGCTGGACGTGGCACTTAGTGTTATGGTTTAGTTGACAAAGTGGTGTTCAGTCAAAGGTTGGACTCAGTGATCTTGGAGGTCTTTTCCAACCTAAATGATTCCGTGGTTCTCTGAAAAGCTAGTGGAAACAAAACCCTACGGGTCTGACTGTGAAATTACCTGAAGGAGGTGAACCATGGGCTGAGGTACAGCATGGATCTCTCTGAGCTGCCTTGTATCAGGTCTTCACTGCACTGCCTTTGAGAGGGTGTTACAGTTGGAGGCCAACACCTGGTGTTTCTCCCAAGGCAAAAGCACGCAGTTCTGGCAGCAAAGAAAAAGTCTTCAGTGATATTCTGTGTTTCAAAAAATAGACGATATCAAGCTAGCTGGAATCACAGTGGAGAGCACCACGTACTCCTCTACTGGGTAATTTTTTATCTCTCATCTGTTGAATGCTGCTTCTCTGACCTGGTAGCATCAGCATGCTCTTTGATTATAAGTGATGATGCAAGGGATATTAGACAGAAAGAATGAGATGTGTCAGTGCTGGAAATTTAAGGAGTAGGAATCTAAGTTTTAATCACAGTGTTTTCTCTTTATTTATGACAGTAAAATTAAATATTTAGTAATTGACTGTGTAGTAAACAGAGCTAAACTGTACTTATTACTTTATAGATGATGAATGTTTTGTGTACTATTTACAAGCATATAAAAAGTATTGTTCAATAAACCTGTAACATAAATAGATGTGAATTGATTATTTTTGGATTATGACAGCCCCTTCTCCTGTAATAGCTGCAGCTGTACACTATAATGCACATGAGTATATTTTGTTTGTTGACATAATTTTAAGGTAAAAAGAAGAAGGGGATGGATAAACATAGAAATCATCTATTAGTGACATATAAACAAGGAGGAAAATTAAAGTGGCACAGTTCAGAAATTCACTGTGTCACTAGATACCTCACATGATAATGCAGATAGTGAAGAATCATCTTTGAAAATAATTTTTTTTGGAAAATAAATAGAGGTAGTTTTCACAACAGGGTAATAAGGACCAAGAATAGCTTTTCATATGAAGCCTAAATTTAGGATAAGGCCAGTCTCTTTGGTAGTGCATTTCATCATCTATAGGGTCATAATCACAGGCAAGGCTAACTATCCTGTAGACCATTTAAATCACGAGTACCCATTTGAAAATACTGGCATAGGTCAAGTTTTCCTTCTGAGCACTAATAAATCAGAGTCTGACTAGAACTTTTGACTAAAATTTTAAACTAATTTGCATGTACTTCATTAGACTGAAGATTTGTACAAAACCAAATCCAACTTCTCAGTCTTACTATTCAGAAGGGATAAAAGAGGAGAAAAAAGCAAACCCCAGGAAGTTTCTTTTCCATTTTTCCATGGCAGACGGCTCTAACACTGTGGTGCAGACTGGAAGCAGGAGGTTCTTCGTCTTGAAAATTTCTGGTTCCTTTCCAGACCTTCACATCTCTAATTAGACTCTCTTTGCCTTCTGACTATTTAGCAGTTCAGAGAGGGAGAAAGAAATTAAGCCCAGTCCTTCAGTGGAAAACTGTTGTGCTGGTCTCAAAGTGCACACTGTCCTGTGGCACATTTTTTAGGGGACAACAGGTGTACATGTGGTATTGCTAATACATACAAAGTCTTGGATCAAGCCCCATTCTTGTTGTGTGCTGCTCAGGAAGATGGTCTTCGTTTGTTTTCAGTTTAATTTACTGGTCAGTATTCCTCCAGGGATGGTGTTGGCCCTCATTTACATACTCTGGGCAAATCCCAGGACCTTATCTAGCCAGAAATAACACCCAAGGAGTCATTTCCTTTTCAGTATAATTACTTTAATGACAATGTGTAGTATGATAAAGGTTATCCATGTAATGTTACTGTTTATTAACCATTACAGCTCCTCAGGCATTTGTACTGCCTTGAAAAGCACACTGCCTTGTTTTCCCACCTGCAAGGGCCTTACAGATGCTCTTAGAGAACAATTGGGATTGCACTTCCCTCAAGTAATGGGCAGATGGCTGTCTGCCTTATCTTTTTGACCTCAGGTTGTCCCCATCAATCAGACCTTTCCTTTTTTACTTTTAATTAATTGATATGCATGAAATATCCCGAGAGAAACATACTGGGTACTTTCCTGCTAAGATAACTTGGTGATCTTAGTGATGTTCCCTTCTTGTGGAGTTAGAAGGAACAGGAGAGAACAAAAAAAACCCCAAACAAATAAAAAAATCAGATTAAAAACCCTGCCTCGACCCTAAATGATATGGGGAGCAAACAAAAGGGGATGAAAATAGTTCCTAGCACTGCCAGTATATGAACCAGCCTATCTCACAACAACCCATATAATTACACTTTTTACCTCAAAATGAACATAGGCAGCTGTTTCAGTACATTGCCATGCTCTTCCAGGCTGCCATTGGAAAGTGTACCTCTCCTGCGTGCTAGTTAGGGTAGACTAAGTCATCGTCAGGCACCCATCAAAGCCTCTCATTTTCTTAAGCTGACAGCTCCGGATATCCAGCATCAGCTTGATTTGAAAGGCAGAGCTTTCTTCATCCTGAGGCAGCCCAGTAATTTCTGCAACACTATTGCTAATTTGAAAGCTGACAGTTTCCATCTCCCCACCCCTTCGGTTTATTACAAATATTTCATGAGACCAGCTGTAGTCTACCATGTCCTTCTTCGCTCTGGGCAAAGGGCGACAAGAAAGGCTGTCAGCAGTGGTGCTCAGTTGCTGTGGTGATGTTTCTCCTGGAGCAGGCAGCTGCAGCGAGTCCCCCACTCTGGTGGCACCTAGCCCAGGCTCCCGATGGACACACAGACACTTCCAGCTGATTTAATTGGTTTGCTTCTCCCTGGTTTGATGTAATAAGTTCATTGTTCCCCAGTTCAACTTAATTGAGTCATTGTTACCCGATTTAACTGACTGATTGCTGCCTGACTTGATTTAATTAATTACCGCTTGACTTGCTGAATAAGCAAGCTCCTTCTGCCAACTGCCAGCATGGCTCATGACTCCTAATCCATGCTGTCTACCTCTGCCCCTTGCCCTATAGTAACCTGCTCTTCTCTCAGGACCTGATCTCTGATCTTCTCTAGTC